AAATTTTGAAAATATTGAATTGCCTGTTCTTCTGAAGATTGCAAATCCCATATTCTAAGAAGATCCATAATATGACGAAGATAAATGAAAAAAAAAAATGAAAAATAAACACAAAGGGGCCACAAACTAAAAAAAAAATGTAGAATAAACATAAACGGGCTAAAAACTAAAAATAATGACAAATAAACACAAACGGGCCAAAACTAAACAATGAAATAACTCAAAGGTTTGGGATAAGAAGAGGGAGGTTATGTGACGTGACGTTAGATAAGATAGATAAGAAATGAGGTTTCAGAACGGCCTGATAGACAAAAAGTACCAAAATATCTGATACTAGTATCAGCTAAAAATATCCAATACAAGTATCAGATAAAAATATCCGATACGAGTATCAGATCAAAATACTCGATACAAGTATCAAGGGGCGGATTTTGAAAGAGCCTTCCGTTCTGCATTCTTTCCTCTAGATTATCAGGAAAAGTTGAAGAAATAAATCGATCGAAAACTCAGGGCGATCAAGAGAAAATTATGGATTACATAGTTATTAATATTGTTAAAAAAATTGGAACGGCAGAAGCCTGAAGAAGAACAAATCTCAAAGATTTATGAAAATCTATAGCCTCGATACCAATTATACATTAGGAGATCTGAAGCGACATCCATTGCTAAATTGATCGAATTGGGGCAAGAATTGGAAAAGATCGAAGAGAGAGCCAGAAGTTTTCGAGCACTTCCAACCAAAAGTAATAGTGCTTTTCCTGAAACTGCCTATGGATTTCCTCAAGCTCCTAGCATGCAATTTGAGAAAAGTAGCAAAATAGCCACAGTAGAGTCCACAGCGAAGAAAAACATTGAAGCTGACAAGAAAACGGCTTCTCCAGAATCTGTTCAGAGGAAGCCTGAATCCTGAATCCTGAAGCCTGAAACAGAATTGGCAACAGTACAATCCCTTTGCTGGAACTGTCTTTAAACGGGACACCGTTATCCGGAGTATTCTAAGCCTAGAACAATCCTCTTCTGTTATAGTTGCGGCACTCGTGGTATCACCAAGAAATATTGCCCAAACTGTAATATGGAACCGAGAACGGGCCAGTATAAGGAGGTTGCTGCTGACCCTATTTCCTTGACTAGAGACCTCAAATCTCATGAGCTCAACAACCTTTCTACCTTATCTTTAGTTGAAGAGAGGTTATACCTTACACTATGTGTAGGTAAAATCAATCTTCCAGCGCTTATTGACACAGGAGCCAATCATTCGTACATCAGTCCCTTAGGACTCTCATCTTTACCTCAAGAACACTTTACTTTTACTTCTGTTACCTCTTATCTAGTCGCGTTGGTACTGGGGCGCGTGAGACGATTAACAAAGCTGTTGCCTTCTTAGCCAGCTTGAATGGCTCTCAAGTTCAAATATCTTTTTATGTCCTTCCCAAACTAACAGTTCCTTGTCTTTTGGGGATGGACGCCATGAGAGCACTAGGAATTGTAATTGATGCTACTGAAGGGTCCTGATGGTTTAAAGATATGCCTGCTAAGTTTTCTAAGGAATCTTTCGCCACAGTGACATTTGAAGAACATTCAGATTCGTTCTCCAAAGACTTCGAATAGCTGATATTAAACTTAATCCTGACTTGCAGCGTGAGGGGCCTCACGAAGAAGGGGAGGTGTAACCAAGATTAAGAAAGCACTGAAAAAAAATAGAACTCTCCTCTCTTTTGTTTCCTGTGCCGGATTACTAATTCATTTTTAGCATATGCATGTGCTCTTACATCTTATATCTCTTGTGTCTTGACTGTCTTTTCTTAATATTTAGATGTGACATGCCATACTATTGTATATAGAATAAGTATCTTTTTTTATTTTTATTATCTTAAATATATTCCTATTTATCTTTAATTTTATATAATAATTATGTTTAAATTCTCTTTCTTTCCTTTTATTTTATTTCTTATGCTTGTACATTGTATTAATTCAGTAAATATTTCTTTCTTTAAATAGATCTCTTAACCTTTTTTGCTGCTTTATAAAAATATCCAATCTGACCCCTTCTCACCTGAGCTAGCATGATAGGATAAATGATTAATCATGTCCAAATAATGGGTAAGTAACTTGTATTCTCTATAATTATCTCTTTAGAGATGGAAGGCTAGTAAAGCCAGGCGCCCAACAAATAAAAAAATCCTATGGAAAATTATATTTATTAAAACTTATTTTATTAACTTTTATTTATCCTTTTTTTTTGGTCATAATATTCGTTAATGTATTAAGTTTTGCATATAAAACAATGTACGAAGTTGATACCGAAACTGAGTCTGTTTGTTTAACAAGCTCTTGTAATCTGGATGATAGGGATTTTTTTTCGAATATTTTCCAATATTCTCATCAACTTAGAATTTTCATTGGGGGAAGGGAGGAAAGCGATGCCCGAAGAATATAATACTATATATAAAAATAAAATGGTATATATAGTAATTTTTTTAAAAAATAAATAATTTAATAAATACATTTTTTTTAATAAATAAGAGTATTCATTAATAAGGTTGTGTAAAAATATTTGCATTCACTTCTGTAAATTTAAGCGTGCTCATTTTAATAAACGTGAATACTGCCGTATTCACTTTTACAATCGTAATTATGGCCGTATTTATATTTAAAGCCGTCAATACATATCTTCTGTATTCATATTACTTTTTATGAATATGAATATATTCATATTTATATTCATTTGTACCATAAATATAAATGGTATTCGTATTTATATTATTGAATATAAATATGCCCATCTCTGATGGGAGTAAACATGGACGTGGCTTAGTGTTCACGTGACTGGCCACGTGTTGGTTAGAGGTCCGAAAAGACAGGCTTTTGATTGGCTGCGAAAATCGGTGTTCAAGCTTTCCCATGTCTTATCTACTCTGTTAGTCGTCAATGTGGTTTCTTGCACCATTCGCATTTCAAAGAAAAATGGATAAGAGTTTGATAGAATTCATTTAAGGATTTTTGTAAAGGAGGGGTGAGGTGAGATACTAGATTTGTAAGAAGATATCAGCGGGGTAACAAGGGATTTGAATTCAGTGAGGAAATTTGGCAACAAACTGGTAAGATCTGTGGCTTGTGATGGAGGAGAAATGTGATGCTGATGAGGTTGTTGAGGATTCTGTAGATTAGGAGGGATAGGGTGTTGAAGTTGGGATTGGTGCTCCTGTTGCGGCAGGGCCTCATATTTGTCAAGCAGGACTATACCCTCTAGTAATTGAGAAAAAGAAACTTTAGAGTCTACTATTTTAGTAAGTCCTCTTTTGGGTTAAGCAATTTCCTCTTGGTTCAGGTGTTTACGAAATTTATTTTTGTAGAACTGGCAGCCATTGCAGTTGGCAGGATGTCCTTCCAGCCATAAAGCACATACTGCAGGGGTAGTTTTATGTTTCTTGCATTCACCAGTCTTGTATGACTTTCCGCATTTCACGCATCTCGGGATGTGGTGGCAGAATGTTTGGTGTGGCCATATGCCTGCCAATTATGGTACTGGACGATTTCTCTTTTAGAGTATGGCTTTTCAACATTACCACTTGTATAATATAATCTTCTGATTTCATATATTTTGTCGACTCCTGCTGAGGATTCTAAATCTATGAAAAATATAGGTAATGGTATTTTTCTATTTGCCTCAGATACATTTCTGTCGTCCTTCATAACATTGGTGACCTGTCGGACTTTGAAATCTTGGGCCGTAAATTCTTCTTGGATCGCCACGACTTCGTAAATTTCGGATCAGTACCCTTAGAGAACGCCCTTGCCTCAATTGGTAGGTATGAAAATCTGTCTTTGGGTCTAATAAATATTTATTTATTTGCTGGTATGCATAACCTGTGCCTGAGGATATTTTAATATCATTAGTGTAGCTTAAGCAGGAGTAGCTACCAGGAGTTGTAATTCTGTTTAAATGAGTGCATAGTAAGGGGAAATTTTTGAATTTCTAACGTAAATTGGAAGAAGTCGGGAGTCTCTGGGAATGGGTTCAGATTCCATCGCCTCTATTTCATGTTGCAGTACAGTAAGGATTAGGGGATGAAAAAGGGAGAATCGTCAGTCATCTCCTGAGATGTACCCGGCTGAGGTTAACTTTCATCTGCTGCTGTAGATGGAGTCATAGGAGGCGTCATTCTTTTTCGCAGGTAACGAACGTGGTGTAGAACCGACCTCGTTGTTGCACCCTTAGAAGACATTAGTTGAGCGTAGTATCTCATAACACATTAGGAGAAAGTGAAGGTAGACAAAAAAAATTAAATGAAAAAACAAACGCTGCAAAAAAACAAAACCTTGATTTTGTATTGGTGTTGCAACAAGACCTCTCCCAGTGAAGGCTCCAGCTCAACTGACCAGCCTTGATTATACACAATAAAGAACTACTGCACTCACTGTGACATTAGTGTATATTATGGTCTAGATGTTTAGCTCAAGTATAGTCACAATTTTATTTAAAAATAACACTAATTTTCTAAGAAACAGTGAATATATCTAAGAGACGAGGTAATAGTGGTATATTATAATTTAATGCATGCCCAGAACTCAGCAGAATCATTATGACAATATCCTGGACAATAGTAGAAGAGATTGATATAATAAATTAAACTAAAAATTAATATGTAAAGCAATAACTTAGTTTAATTAATTATGCTAGGATGCCACCTCAAAAAAAAAAGATTGACGTTCGCAGGAAGAAAGATTGAGCAAAAAAAAGGTTTATAAAACAAACGTTAACTTTGTTCCTTTGAAAAAAAAAATTACCCCACTTTTATGTTATTATATACCAAATATGTTTTTTTTTTTTTTTTTTTCTGAACCTGGAATGTACAAAGTAAGATTAGATGTTCAAAGCCTTGTTTGTGGCACTGATTATTATTATGTTGTTGTTGGAGTAGGTAAAAAACATGATTTCTGCTTATAAGAAAACAGAAGAGCTAAATTTAAAACAGTTTATTTTTAGTATTAAAAATTACCTCTATTGCCTTAACCTCATGCTCGATAACATATCCAATATTTGATTCACCAACCCCATCTCTAAACAAGATTATTTTTGGGGGTAAATAGCTGTTGATTTTATTAAATTCTATGACTGCATCTAGAAAAAAAAATACCATAAAATGAAACTAAAAAAAAAAAACCAAAATATTCAGACTACGTAGCAAAAATCAAATAAATAAATCTATTACGATATATATGGAGTGCAATGTCATCTGACAACTCCTGTCCTGAAGTGTGCCTACTGATGGCAGAGTAAAATTTTGAGAAATAATAATCAAGGGAGGCTACCATGGCACCCACCGATTTATTCTTTGCTCTTGTATCGTGACATACATCAAACCCTACTACCAAAGAGGCAGCTGGCTGTAAACATTTCACAATTTTAGGGTTAAACGATTATTTATAAAATTTAAATAAAAATTACTTTTATTCTACAAAAAAAATTATGCATTTGTAATAAGAGATCATTTTTCTATAAACAACAAATAAGCTGTATACAAGTATTTACTCACCACTTCAGTTTTTCCGGTCTGAAAAATAAAATAAACACAAATAATCAGATTTCCAATAAAAATGAAAGTCATAAGCATAAATAATGAGAATATTAAATGGGCACTTACACCATCAGACGTTTCCACGTTTCTCTAAAATAAAAAATATACATATTAGAAAAATCATATTTTATTCATACATGAAGTTTTTAGAAATTCATAGAAATTCGAATTTTTAATTTAATTATTAATTATTAATTTAATTGAATGTTTATTGATTATTTCATATAATAAACAATAAATACAAAACTTAATAAAAATATTTATAACTGTTAGCTGGTGGTTGGCCTTGGTCAGGAAGTATTATTAAGAATAAACAAAAACCTACAATTAAAAGTTGCATTTTAGTTTATAATATTACAGGAATTCCACAAAAAAATAAATAAATAAAGTGGGTATCATTTATAACGACCGCATTCTCAAATGGTCAAAGACCCAGAGAAGCCTCCATGTATTGGTATCAGGGCCTTATTTTTTTAAAATCAATTCGGGATGTTCTCGATGAAACCCTAACAAATACTTCAGTCTGGCCCTTGCCTTTATACTGATAGGATCGGTGCTGTTTTGTTCTCCAAAGATATAACTGTGCTATTACATGTTGTGCCGTTTATAGTGCTTATTATACTTATTAAATATTATCAGTGCTCCACTTATTGACTTTTTCGGTGATATTTCAAGTTATTATTCTTAAATAAACAAAAAGGTAAGCAATAACTTTAGAGTATATCGAGACAGCCGAGCTTGAGATAAGGACGGAGATTAATCCCCACTACATCTCTCACTGCCCACCACCTCTCTCGTATCTATAACTTTATAAGTAGAGATGGGTTGATACCCGAATTTTTGTATCTAGATATGATTGATACGAATACTTTTTCGTATCTGATAATTTTATCTGCTACTTTTGTATCTGATATTTGTATCGAGTATTTTGATCTGATACTCATATCGGTTATTTTTATCTGATACTTGTACCGGATATTTTTATCTGATACTAGTATCAGATATTTTATCTGATTCTTGGACTTGATACACTGAAGAGTAGATACTGGAGCGGTGTGCATAGTGGCGCTAGTAGGGTTTGATATCCCAATAATTGTATTGGATATTTTAATCCAACTGTAATTGATTACTGATCAGCTTTGATATTTTTAGTACCTATTTATATTATTAGGTATTACAACATATGTAATAAAACATATATTAAATATGTACCTATACATTTTATTCCTTTATTGTTAGATTTATTAGTGCATCTAATCAAATATCAAATTAAATATCAAATGCAGATATGTACACAACATTTTAAACAAAATATGCTTTATATTTGTCAAAAAAATGGAATATATTTAATTAGAAATAAAAATATAACCAATTCATGTAGAGAAAAATTTTTTTCTATGTATGTATATATATATATATATACATACACACTGACAGACAAAAAAGTCCACCCACTTAGTTTTTTCATGTTTTCATCTAAAAATATTTCTGCTTTGGATTGGTCTATTGTTTTTAAAGAATAAATAGGTAATCTTTTTGTTTGTTTTCAATTAGGAATGTTAATATAGAGGATAATGACCCTTAATCCTTAATTCAATGAAATGATTTTAGATTCCAATTTTTCCAAGATTCCAAAACGAACCATTATTATTCTAAAATAAATTAATTACATCATCGTTTAGTAGAGCGTGTTTCCTCCTCTTGCCTTCACTACTTCTTGAAGACGCCTCGGTATACTTTCCACCAGTCGGGAAATGTCCCTTTGGTGAAGGATAGCCCATTCCTCCCGAAGAGCCCTTTCAAGTTCCTGCAGTGTATCAGGAAGTGTTGCACGCGCTCTTATTCGTCTTCCGAGGTTATCCCATAAATGCTCAATGGGGTTCAAATCTGGAGAACGTGCTAGCCAGGCTAAAACCTCAATATTGTTCTGTTGAAGGAACGTCTGCACTATGCGGGGGACATGTGGGTACATTATCGTGCATTAGAATAGAACGATCGCCGATTTCGTTGAGGATAGGCAACACATGAGGTTCCAAAATCTCCTCTACATAGCGAATGGCCGTCAAAGACCCTCCACGAACAATAACCAATTCTGTGATGTGCTACATTGAAATCCCAGCCAACACCATTAAGGAACCACGTTGGAAAGGTTGGCTCTGGGAAAAATCACAGGCTGCATATATCTTTCGTTTCTTCTTCTCCACACCCTTTCACGCCCGTCTGGAGATCGAATAGCGAATCTTGACTCATCTGTAAAAATTATAGCACTCCTTATTCGTCCATAGTCCAATGGCTGTGCTCTCGAGCAAAAGCCAGCCGTGTTATTCTGTGAATCCTGGTCAACTCTGGTCCTCTTACTGGACGAAAAGCCAATAACCCATACTCATTTAATCATCTCCGAGTAGTAAGTTTAAAAATTTGCACACCTCGAACTTCTTCGAGGTGATGAATCGCTTGAACAACGGTTTCGTAAAATTCTCAAAGTCAAAATCCGGTCATCCCGTGGTTCTGTTACCCTAGGCCGTCCAGAACCGGGCCTTCTATTGTAAGAACCAGTTTCCCAAAAACGCCTGACGGCGTCTCGTAAAGTTTCATATGGAACTCCATTGGCATTAGTTGCATATCTAATGAAACGTCCATCATCAATAAGTGCGACACCACGCGGAACATCCTCAGCACTAAATATGCTTATATTTGACAAAACAATGAAATATATTTACATAAAAATTTAGTAGCTTTTCTTTTCATATCACCAATTCACCAATATAGTTACAGAAAAAAGCATTAAAAGCATCAAACTGTAACAAATCACATTAAACTTCTTTATTTTTGACAATAAAAACTTCCAGGTATACAAACAATTGGTTTATTTGTTGAATTACATGTCAAGTTGACGTTTCGGGAAAATTATTCCCATCTTCAAAACTTAAATATAAATTTAAATTCCCAGAAAAAAGAAGAAAAGAAGAATTCACATTATTAAAATTATTGAAGAGAAGAATAGTTGGGGTGCTCAGTCAAAAAGGAAGGCATAAAATAAATATTATAATTTATTTTTTTGCCTTCCTTTTTGACTGAGCACCCCAACTATTCTTCTCTTCATTATCCACGACAGTCAACCAATTACCAATTATATTAAAATTATTGTGAATTGGTGATATTAAAAGAAAAACTACAAAATTTATATATTAAATACATTTCATTATTTTATTAAATATAAAGCATATTTTGTTTCAAAAAAGCATAAGTTAAAAAATGTATAAATATCTGCATAGTTTACCAGAATGTTAATAAATATTTGTTTTTATAAAGTCAAAAGTATTTGGCAGTGAAATTAATTATTATAATATGTAAGATAACAGCCTCCTTATTTTCATTTCATTTCAAACTAATTAAGTTAAAAGTTCAATTTTTTCTAAGCTATTTTATGTATATATATATATATATATATATATATATATATATATATATATATATATATATATATATATATCTGGGATCGGAATACTATCACATGGAGAAGTAAGACCGATAAAGAACTGCTTACAGAAACTGGTCTATCAATGTCACATAATATGAAGGTACAGAGATTAAGAGGGACGGGGCATGTAGCTCCTAGCAATCCATCTGAAAGAGCAATACATAACAATGAATGAGGAAACTAGAGGAGAGAATATGATGATGAATATTTAATTGTATAGATTAAATCAATATAAAAATTAAAATTGGTGTATAAACCAATGAATGTTTAAACAAATAAAAATACCCACCATGGGTATCCAGTCCAGTCCAGTTCAGGTATCAGATAAAAATACCCGATACAAGTATCAGATAAAAATATCCGATAAGAGTATTAGATTAAAATATCCGATACGAATATCAGATAAAAATATCCAAAATTAATATTACATTAAAAAAAAAAAAGCATGAATATATTTATCTACAAGTAAGTATTTAATTAAATTAAAATAAATGAACAGATAGTTCTAAAGAAATTGTGCACAACTAAAATTATAACCAATCATTTCTCTTATATCAATGTGGCATGTCTGGACAACCATTTTGTATCCATGTGAGCATCTGTATCAGATACTTTTGGGTTGTATCTACTGGTTGTATCAGATACTTTTTTAGTATCAGATAAAAGTATCTGATACATACTATCCGACCCATCCCTATTTATAAGCCAGTAGCACAGTTACTTAACGATGACGCTGTGCCCGAAATGTAATAACACGATCGGCAGAGAAGATAAGGCTACATTAGTTTGTTCTACATGCAAACTAACCTACTACAAAAATGCTGCAATATCGCTGAGAATTGGTTCTGCCATACGTGTGTAAAGTCCGTCAGTAAGAATCATGCCACTACGGCCGCTGAGTTGTCAGAAGGGAGCAATACCTCTTTATTAGCCGAGGTAAAAAAGATAGCCGAAGATATCAAAGAGGTCAAGATATCGCTAGGAAAGCAGAGTGACCTAGCATTCGAAAACAATGAAAGATTGAGAAAAATAGAAGAATTAGCACTGAAACAAGAAAAAATCATTGAAAATTTAGTGAGTGAGAATAAAACTCTTAAATCACAAATAATTATTCTCGAGTATAAGCTTAACCAAGCAGAACAAGCTCAGCTGGCAAACAACGTGGAGATAAGAGGTATCACGGTTAATCCGGATAAAACGACAGAGGGCCTAGTTTGCTCCATAGGAGCAGCTCTAGGTGTAAAATTATATGTCGAAGACCTTAATTTCGAGGAGAGAAAAAGGAGCAGAAGAGAAGACCCTCGGCCACCGCCCATCGTCGTGCGGTTCGTCCGCCAGACACTACGCGATGAGATCATACGCCTTCGCAAAGTAAAGAGAGATTTCTCAAGAAGATATTTATGACGGGACATCCACGAGAGGATATACATAGGCGAAGAAATGAGCCCTGTCAACAAACACTTATACTGTTTGGCGAGGCAAAAAAAGGCGGCAGGGAAGATGAAGTACCTCTGGTTCGCCGGCGGAAAAATTAAGTATAGAAGACAGGACGGCTCACCTGTCAACGTCATCTATAAAAAAATAAGACATTGAAGCCATAGAATGAATTATGTGCCAACGTTCCCCCCAATCCTTGTGTTTTGAAAGCCTTATATTTTTTATTTTTAACTTTATTTGCTATAATAGGTATGCCTGCGTCTAAGATGTTTATTTTCATTACTTTTTTTTAAAGATAATTTTAATTCTATTTTAGATGGGGCTTACATGCCAGACCTATATACATATTTTGTAAACTCTACTATTATTCTAAGAGGACTTCAGTCCCAGAATAAAATTATTTTTCATTTCATTCAATTCATTTCATTTCTCAAGGATAGATCCAAAGATTCCTTTGCTGACTTAATATTATTTTTTATTTTTTTATTTTTTTCCCTAAATTTACTAAAATGGAGTTATGAGGTTTACATTGTCTGCCATAAATAGGTCAAAAGCAGTCACATTAAAAGCATAATGTTTTCGTTTCATTGATTTAATTTTATGATATGTTACTTACTAATTTTTCAGAACAAACCAACGATATACACCTAATTATTTAAAAAAAATATTGAATCTAAAGTTATTAGATTTGTCTCTTTTTCCCATTTATAAACCAAAAAAAAAAATTAGTTTAATGAAATAAGTAAATTTAATTTAATTTTAATTTCTTCTCAAAATAGATCTAACATTACATAAAACAGTGATATAACTTTACAATAACATCATAGGTACTGTTCTATCATGAGGATAAGCAGATTTATTTATAAGTGAAAGCCCAGCCATCCTTTTGGCCCATCCCACACCGTTGTACAACTACTCTCCTCTGCCAGATGCCGATTCATTGCAAACTCCACATACGTATCATATGTATTTTTTTATCCTTCACTGATACAGTAGTGTAACTGATCAAATCATCAGATTAAAATCATTCAAAGCTGCAAATTGTATTCCTTAATTTTGCTATTGGGTTTCCAGGAATATGGTAGTGATTCACAATCTTAGCAATTCAAAAACATAACTTACTTTAAATGGGAGTGAAGTATACCATGGACTCCCACCCAGCTTACAGTTCATCTGAATAACAATTTTTGTGCAAATTGAGAGCAGACTTTTATGCCCTAGTGTTTTAGTTGCTATCACCTGAGATGGTACTGCAAAATAAAAAATAAAATACTATCATAATATAAAATTAATACAAGGACAAAATACATTATGTGGACAAAATATTACAAGGAAATTTTGTTGCTGAAAACGTTTTTAAGAATATTATAAATAATATAATTAAAACTAAGTAGAAGCAATATAAGTAGTATCATTTTTGGCACAACTTACAGAGCATAGAAAAATATAAAGGAAGGAGATGGTCTGGAGTGGCAGTCATAAAAAGCCTAAATAGTGGCAAAACTATTTTATTAAAAGCCAACGTTTCGACCCGACTTTGCAGGTCTTCTTCAGGGGTAGAATGGACAAGATACAAAAAGATATAGAGAATTGTGGAAATTGCATAACATCAAGACAAAAAATTATAAACAATGTGAATAAGCTTATTAAAATTATAAACAGTAAGCACATTAAAATATAAACAGAGTAAGCTAAGCAACAAGATCATAAACTGAAGTACATAGGTGAGGTGGTAACAATTGTTGTAGTGTAATATATAATATATGCGAATATATTATATATTATGAATATACTTCTACAGATCTACAGGAGAGATTAAAAGAAAAGGAAAAAGGATATAATATGAAATAATAGAGATAAAGGAATTTGCAGACAAAAAAAAAATAATAATAATAATAGATAAGAATAAAATTACAAGAATAAAAATAGAGACTTACAGGTGTGTTCAGCTAGGACTTTCACATAGAACTGGAAAATCAGGGTAAGGATAGGGCAACGAAATTGGGGAAATTTCCTGACCTGTTTGGGTAATGGTAAAAACCTAGAAAATTACAGTATCTAAAATTGAGGATATGGATGGATACAAGGGCAAAATACTATCTATATCTGTGAAATAATAAATTATAAATATATACATATGAAATAGAATTTAGAGATTATAGATAAGAGCACAATATGAATAAAAACAAAAATGGAAGAAGTAAAACGTACATAGAAGTAAAATATAAATATAGTAATAAGATACCATACATCATAGCAGAACTAAATTAGAAGTATAGAGAGGAAAAAAATATGAATAACTATAATTATATTTGGTTGTACAATAAAACATGTAAGAAAATTATATTTAAATATTAGATAATATTGAGACATGGTTAAAAAGTAAAATTAATACAAAGTGAAAACCGATGATCATACATTGTCATGATCATAAATAACGTTTTATCCCAAGAACCTAACCCTAAATTCAAATGGAAAATCCTTAAGAACCTCTCTGTTGTTACCTCGAAAACCTGCACACAGTATCCAATCGATCCCAACACGCTAAATTCTTTTTTCATTAACCATTTTCTATCCACATCTCCATCTGACCGCTCATCTTTTTCCATTACCGAAACCCCCTTTGATCCTGATAAGTTTTACTTTCTTGACATCTCTCCTACTGACCTGCTCTCTGCCACCCTTAAATCCAAAACAAATGATTATGGTCCTGACCAAATACCTGTTAAGGTTATCAAACTCTGCCTTCCAGCTTTACTATCCGCACTTTTACACATATATAATTTCTCTCTCCAAAATTCCATTCTTCCCAAATCCTAGAAAAGAGCCGTCCACTGAACAAAGTTCCAACTCCTTCATCAGCTTCCGACTTCAGACCCATCTCCATCCTATCCAATCTATCCAAGCCCCTAGAAAGATTAGTTCACTCTCAGTTGAACAGCTTTCTCGAGCAAAACCATCTCCTTAATCCCTTACAATCTGGTTTTCGATCCCAGTATTCCACCCAGTCTGCCTTGCTAAGGATTACCCAAGACCTCCAATCCGCCATAGTTAAACAGAAAATCTTCATCCTAATTCTTTTTGACTTTTTCAAGGCGTTTGATTCCGTTAATCATGACATCCTTCTTTCCAAACTCCAAAGCCTGCCCATGTCAAATAGTGTCCTAAAATAGTTCCTATCCTTCTTATCCAATCGATCTCAGACAGTTACAATACCGAATAAACCTCCATCATCATCAATTCAATTAACGCGAGGTGTTCCCCAGGGTTCCTCACTCTCCCCGACCCTTTTCTCCATCTATATTAGTAACCTTTCTAACGCCATTCAACACTCCAATTACCACCTATATGCCGATCATTTCCAAATATACCAATCATTCCAACCTTCTGAGATGCCTGAGAGGCTACAAGAGGACATCGACTGCATCAACAGATGGGCAGAAATAAATGAATTAAAGCTAAATGCAGATAAAACCAAGGCTATTATCATCGGGTCCAGACATCTCATCAGCTCCCTTCCTTTCTTTCCTCTACTTTACCTCAATAACCATCCCATCGATTTTTTCCCTACAGTCAAAAACTTAGGAGTAACCTTTGACCAGAACCTCTCCTAGGATAATCATATCTCCCAGATTACCCGAAAATCTATAACTGCCCTTAAATAACTCCTAAGATTCCGTGATTGTATTCCTCTAAAAACCAGACAGCTTCTTGTAACCTCCCTTGTATTCTCCCACTTCGACTACGGCTGCTTGATGTATGGAGGGCTATCTGCCAGGCTGGAAATGAGACTAAAAAGACTCATGAATTGTTTCATTCGATACATTTTCGGGATCCCCAGACGTTCAAATGTTTCACTATGGTACACCGAGTTGAAGTGGCTTTATCCTACTTCCCGACGACAAATCCTTCTTGGCGTTTTCCTTTTCCAAGTCTTCAGAACTAAAAACCCTCCCTACATCCTGGAACTCCTTACTCTGCGCTCCTCTATCCACTCTCTCAATACTAGGTCTAAACCTATAGACTTATATATTCCCTCCCATAAAACTTCCTCCTTCAGCAAATCCTTCGTCATTCGTGCTGCTTCCTCATGGAACTCACTTCCTATCTCCATGCATCAATTCTCATCCACAAATACCTTCAAACAACTCCTGTTCCAACACCTACTCCACATTCAAACTTCCCCTAACATGTAAAATTACTTGCATCTATACAATGTTTAATTTCAATCTATCGCACAATTGAAATAACAATTAACAATAAATTAGTTGGTATTTTTATTATATCAGACTAAGATACATAAATTTGTAACTTTCTTATTATTCTTAGGGGACAGTAGTCCCAGAATAAAACTATATTTCATTTAATTTCATTTCATATAAAATAAAAATAAAATAAAAGAGAGATCATATGTTTATACTGACTGGTATGCTAAACCCACGTACTCAGGCAGACTACTCAACATCTATTCTCAACAACCATATCACCAAAAAAATCAATACCACCAAAAACCTTATTCTCCGATCTCTCTCTTTATCTGATCCACACTATCACCAAGCCAACACCCAAAAATATACTCATTTCCAATAATTTCCATCTCAACACTATACTTAAACTTTTAAGCTGCTGTACAACCAAAAAGAGTACAACCTCTCCTTCTCTCAACTCCCCACAATCACCTACCACTCCTTCCATATACAAATCTCTCTCCTATATTCCTACTCTCTCAGATAATATACAAAAATTCCTTAAATCGACTATAACCGACTTAAGTCTTGGCCTAAGGTCCCATAACAAACTTTCTTTTCTTTTCATCAACTTGAAGGATACCATACTTTTACAACACCAATCTAATGTAGTTTACCGGATACCTTGCTCTATTCCTAATTGTAATAGCTCCTATATCCAAAAACCATCTCAAAATCCGCATTTCCCAACATAAAACATCCATAACTTCACGGAACCCTTCGCCTCCAAACTATCAGAACATCCCTTAACCCTCAACCATTCATTTGAATTTGAAAAAACCTCTATTCTTGCCACAGTCCCAAACCATGAAAAAAGACTCATTTCCGAATCCATCCACATTCGCATGGAACAGAATCCGGTCAATCATGAAGTAGATAAAAACTGCATTTCTTTAACATATAGACACATTTTAAATCTTATAAGTGAAAAATAACTTATATATTACATCGTATTATTTTTATCTACTTTCAATTTTTATTGATTAATTCAATTTAATTATTCATTATTCTACTTATTTCCGCTTTGTATGATCTCTCTTTTTATTTTATTTTAATTTTATATTTGTAAATATAAAATAGAATGTATTCTACATCAATGTATGACATGAATGTTTTCACTTTGTATTCATTTTACTTTTTAACCATGTCTCAATAATATCTAATATTTGTTTTAATTTGAAAATACATTCTGCCGCATTAGAGGGCATTAATATTAGGGCTACATTAAATATACAAATAAAAAGGGCCACAATATATACATATAAATTATAACTAAAATAGAGATAAAAGAAAAATAGTTTAACATACATAGGTAAAAAAAAAAGAGAGAAAAGCATTTATTTATTTTAAAAAAATTACAAATAAATAAAAAAATTGAGAAAAACTAAATGAAATTGAAATATATAAAACACATTCACACCTATATACAATATTTACATTCACCCAGAGGATTCTGAGTCATGCTTTGTCCCCCAAATGTGGAAGCCAAGGCAGGACCCCAGGAGATCCTAGTGCTTCTCTCCCAGCCGCGTCACTGGTATTGCAAGCCAGTGGAGACTGATGGAGGGCACTAGAGCAACAGACGCTCAGGACACGAGTGGTTAAGGGTGGTTAGGAATCTGGTCATTGCCAGTAGTCCAATATATACATATTTACAAAAGGTCGCGGGGCCACTGCCGTTTTAACCTCCGGGGAGGATTATAGGGATGGCTGGAGCTAAATAGGGATTGTGCTACAGGATTTGGATGATGAGTGAGTTTCTGGTGAAATTTGGAAAAATTTTCTGGAATTAGGTCAATAACAAATGGGATATGAAGGTCATTATGGAGAGTTTTGTTGAATACATAGAAGGGAGCATCGACTATTGTTCGGAGGACTTTAGACTGGAAGGATTGAATACGCTTAATGTTAGAAGGTTTTGTTGACCCCCACAGCTCTAGACCGTGGGTCCAGATATGTTTCAGGATTGTCTTGTAGATTAGTAGTTTGTTGTCGACTGAAAT